TCCGATATACAATTTAAAAGTTTTTTTAATGAATTGATTTCATTTAAATCAATATGGGTTATATAAAGTAGAATCAGGTGAGACACGTATTATAATTATAAAATTGAACAAAATGAAAATAAGATTATTCTTCCATCTGCCTTTTAACACCCCTAGGAGGTTGTCCGGGTGGATATTGTGGCGGTAAATTGGGAGCATTAAATGAAGCAGATCCTCCTGGAGGTGGTAATGCACCTGGCGGAGGAGGACCAGTCGGCGCATTCACTGACGATGGCGGTGAAGAAGTCTCAGGTTGCGGCACGTTTCCTGAAGAAGCAGGTGCCCCTTGTGGTGGTTGAAACGGTAATACGCCTGGCGCACCCAGACCTCCGGGTCTCACGAAAGCAGAACTTGGTGGTTGACCTGGAAACGGTTGTTGAGTAGGTAATGTCGAAGGTATCCCCGTCGGCGTAGGTGGTAGTGGGTTAGGCGGAACGGTAGTACCAATTCCAGGCCCACCAATTACAGGAGGAGGTGGAGGAGGAGCGTTAAGTACAGGAACATTAGCAGCCACAGTGCCTGGTGCTCCATTTCCGACCGGTGGACGGGGATGCATCATTAAAGGAGGAGGAACCGAAGCTACTAGTATTAAGGAATAATAAAATTAATTCAAGAATTATCAATTTTGTAATCGAAACATGAAAGACCTACCGTAAGGTGGAGCATTAACTACTGGCGCAACGACAGTAGGAATCATACCATGAATATAACCATATTGAGGAGGAAATCCTAAGAAATCAATAAATAGATCAATAAATAGATTATTATATATCCACATGAAAACATCATAAAAATTAGATCAAGGCTTACCGACTTGTCCGGCGCATTCGTATGCTTTTGTAATTTCGTCTATAATTGCTTGCGCTTTGTCTTGACCTAATTCTGTTTTTTTTTTGTTTGATCGATCAAGGGGTGAGTATAAGAACATAAGAAGAAAAGAAAAGAAAAGAAAAAAGAAAAAGATAACATACCGGCATAATAGTTTCTAACATTCATGATATGATTTTTACCATTATTGTGAGCTTTTCGCACCGATGACGAATCTTAAAATTTTTAGATTTTAATAATTTTATAAGTATGATCACTATTTTCCATTAGAGTCCATTAGAGATGAAATAACACATACCGTGCGTTAAATACACATCACAATAATCTAAAAATTTTTAGAAAAAAGATCAGAAGAATGATTAATGGTTTCAAAACAGAGAAGTGCAGAGGTATGTATTTAGACTTACCACAGTAATATTTTGGCATTACGACAAAG